TAGTCCTTCTGTGTGTCTTACTCTTTGCACACTGTTCACTTGCAGCTCTGTGTTAGTTCCCATCTACTGTGAAAAGAAGCTTTTCTGATGATGGCTGACAGAGGCACTGATCTATGAGTATAGTGTGTGTCATTAGAAATCATTATATTACTATGGTCCTTTAGCAGAATGACAGTAATTAACTTTCTCCTAGATCCATGGCTTACCCAGTCAGGTTCTTGGCTCCTTTAACTAGTCCAGGTATGGGTTCCACTTCAAAAGTGGGCCTTAAATCCAGTCAGAAATGGCTGGATACTCCTATAACATTTGTGACTCTGTTATAGCAGTGTATCTTTCAGGCAGTTGCCTGTTTCAGGTCACAGGGTTGGTAACTGGGAAAGACTGATGATACCTTTCCCCTCTGGTAGTGTGCAGTGTACCTTCAATGCTATGAACCCTCGTCATTAAGGGTGAAGCTTCCGGATAGGAACAAGTTAAACTTCCCCATGTTTGATGACACAGATAAGTGTTTTCCTCAGCAGTAGGTTCTTACCATCAGGTTGTAAAGATTATCCTATTGGTCTTCATTGCTCTTTGTATGTGGCCTGAGTCTACCTATGAAAATGGCTCACTACTCTGCTGACTTAGAAAAATCATACACAAAAACCAAAATTAAGAGTTTCAAATCTTCATGCTCATTTTATAAACACTCATGAAACTGCCCAGGCCATCAAGTATATTCATATCTGAAAAACCACCAAAGTATTTGAAAGATGGACACTTTAAAGAAGCATCGCGTGCCCAAGCCAAGCATGGACATAGGGTCACTGGCCCCCAAATGGTGCTGAATTATTGCTGCACAGGGTTAAAAATGTAAAGTAATGCTGGGCTTAAAGGCTTAGATGTAGATTCTCTGGTCTTTATACATATTCAGGTAAACAAAACATCATAGTTGGATTAACTCTCATTCTTCCCAGAAAGCTCTGAAAATGTTTTAAGTCATCAACCAAATGACAGTTTTTGATAAGTTTATAAAACTTGGGAGACATTTTTGTTCACTCAGCCTGGTGATGATACACAGAAATGGGCTCACGACATGCGAGAGAGAGAGAGAGAGAGAGAGAGAGAGAGAGAGAGAGAGAGAGGAGAGACAGAAAGACACAGACAGTGCACGTGTGTGTGTTGATTGCTGCTAATAAATTCTTTAGTTGAAAATAAGTATGAAAGTTAGTACATGGTTGTTCAGAACAGATGTGTTACACAATCCCTGTGAATGAACCTAGCAGTTCCACACGAGGTCTTCCAGGTACGTGAACTTTTTTCCTACCTTCACGCTAGCTTAAGACTGTGTATTGGGCCAGAAGCTGGAAACAGCCCAGATGCCCCTCAACTGAAGAATGGATACAAAAATTGTGGCACATCTACACAATGGGATACTACTCAGCAAGGATATCATAAAATTTGCAGGTAAATGGTGGGACCTGGAAAGGATCATCCTGAGTGAGCTGTCCCAGAAGCAGAAAGACACACACGGTATATACTCACTCATATAGACATATAATATAGGATAAACCTACTAAAATCTGTACACCTAAAGAAAATAATCAAGAGGGAGGACTCTGGCTAAAATGCTCAGTCCCCATCCCGAAAGGCAGAGGATGGACATCAGAAGAAGAAAACAGGAAACAACCTAGGAATCTGCCACAGAGGGCCTCTGAAAGCCTCTGCCCTGCAGACTATCAAAGCAGATGCTGAGACTTATGGCCAACTGTTGGGCAGAGTGCATGGAATCTTATTAAAGAAGTAAGTGGGAAATAGTAAGATCTGGAGAGGACAGGAACTCCACAAAGAGAGCAACAGAACCAAAAATTTGAACACAGGGGTCTTCCTGAGACTCATACTCCAACCAAGGACCATGTATGGAGATAACCTAGAACCCCTGCACAGATGTAGCCCATGGCAGCTCAGTGTCCAAGTGGGTTCTTTAGTAATGGGAACAGGGACTGCCTCTGACATGATCTGATTGGCCTGCTCTTTGATCACCTCCCCTTGAGGCGGGAGCAGCCTTACCAGGCTACAGAAGATGACAATGCAGCCACTCCTGATGAGATCTGATAGACTAGATTCAGAAGGAAGGAGAGGAAGACCTCCCCTATCAGTGGACTTGGGGAGGGGTATGCATGGAGAAGGGAGAGGGAAGGTGGAATTAGGAGGGGAGGAGGGAGAGGTTTATGGGGGGATACAAAGTGAATAAAGTGTAATTAATAAAAATTAAAGTAAAATAAAAAAGACTGTGTATTGGAAAACTAACCTGCATCCATCAGCTCAAACCTGTGTTTGAGATGCTACAGCAAAGAAGCCTCAGATAGATAAGAGATAGTTTAGTAAGTGAGTGCTTACAAGCCAATGAAACAAAAGGGCAAAGAGATAGACAGCAGCTGTTCTAAAACATGTAAGATGCTGACGTAAAGGCACGCGGAAAAGTAGTTTCAACTTGGATTTATTTGTGAAAATTCAGATAAATATGTGAAAGGTATTTCCATCTTATCAAAAGATATGTTCAAATTTTGGGAAAAAGCTGCTCAAAACCAGCAAATACTATTGGAAACATCAGAAATGTTCTAATCTCCAGGAAGTTCTTAGAGGTTTGGTTGAAGTCTGACCACTTTCCAGGAAGGCTCTGTGGCCACCACAGGCACAACAACTAAACTGTGCAGAATGTAAAGTCTTACAACCAGGGTGGACCTTATATTTACCAACATGTACCTCCCATAGAGCACAGAACACAGCTCCCCTGATAGTCAGGCCTGCTCTCAAGTTTGACATCTTCATACATTACAAACACATGTAACTTCTCATGAAACCAATGGTGAAGCTGAGAATTAGTAAGTGTGATTCAGAGGAAAATAGGCCTCGGTCAAGAAGATAAACAACAGGACATTTAAAAGATACCTTTTACAGCAAAGTCTTGAGCAGAAAGCCTTAAACTTTTGGTTCTCTTCCTTTCTTGGCACAAAGACCAAAAACAGCAAACTGCTGAGGTCTAGGATTCTGCTGTAGCCAGGGGTTACTGACTACTATGATGTCAAAGTTCTGAGGTTTGCTTATGCCATAACTGAAAAACTCACACACTCATTTCCTGATTTGCTTCCATTTTTTTAAGCTTTCAAAATTAATTTTTATCCATGTAGTTTTGGATCCAAGTGTAATTTCAAAATCTAATGCAGGAATTGCACCCATCTTTTGTCTAGTTTGCCACAGATGGGCTATGTATCCCCAAATTGAGGTACAATATTATAAGCAGATGTGCCAGACTGTCTTCTGTTGCTCAATTTTGGAGGTGGAAAGTACAGCTCAGACTGTCCTGTAGCAGTGGCCTCTGGGTAGGGCCACAGTGGTTATGTTACAGCAGGCACTCAAGTGAGAGAGCACATGGCAAGGCGGGAGGCCAGACAGTGTGCAGAAGGTCCACTCTTGCTCTCTGACAATGATGCTCCTTAGTCCTTTCAGGAGGCAGCATTTCCAGTGTCAGGACAGCTGTCATATAGGCTTTCATCCTCACTCACTGTAACACTAAGGGCTAAGTAAGCTTCTAGCACATGAATCCCTGAGTGCCACGTCATACCCACAGAACCAGGATGTCAATAGATACTATTAAGACATAGGATGTTCCCATTACTATAAAGATCTTTACATGCTCCTTTTATAGTCATACCAATTGTTTCCTCATGCCGGCCTCCCTTTAATTCCCAGCAACCTCTTTCCTTTCCTTTTCTGGTTTTTTTTTCTCTTCTTCTTTTTGGAATGTGTAATCAGGACCATATGGCATATACAGTTCTTCAATATTTTTCCACTCAGCATAGAGATTCATTCATATTATTGTTGGTATCAGATACTGTTGTCTTTGTATCCCGTAATTGTATTGTATTGCAGTGATTTATTGTATTGTATTGCAGTTTATTTAACTGGCCTTTGAAGGACTGTTGGATTGTCTCCAGGTTGGGCCATAAGTAAAGCTGGAATAAAAATTGGTCCAATAAAAATTGGACTTTTCTTGAAAGCCATAATGAATTTATTTTTTTAGAGTCAGTGCCACATTGTTCATGGCGACCAGTATGCACATGATAACGGATTTTCTCTCAGATATTAACATTGCAATATTTTTGTATATGGAAATGTTTTGTCAGGACTGAGAACATCAAAGAATAGAGCTTAACTGGACATAGATGCTAACAACTATGGTGTCTTGATTGCTCCCATAATTAATGTATACACCCTGAGAATCTGTGGTATTATGTCCTGTAGTTATGAAGTCTAAAGATTTTAAGGCAGCATTAGCTTATATTTCTCTATACTTTAGTGTTGACTTTTGTCACTATGGCTAAGACACACAAGGCAGTTGCAAGGGTTAATAGTGTCAACTAGACAGGATCTAGAATCATCTATGAGGCAAGCCTCTGTGGGCTTTAGACTAGGTTACTCCTGAGCATGCCTGTGAAGGGAGTTCTTGATTAAGTTACTGGAGTTAGAAAAGCCAATGTGTGCGGAGCGAATGAAAGGCTTGGTTTTTCTGTCTGCTTCTGTTACCGGGTTCTCAGCCTCTCTGGTACTAGTCGGCTGCTACTGGACTATGCATACAGTATCATGCACACACGAATCTCATACTTTTTTTGCTATATTGCACAATATTAATGAATCTTACATAAAAAATAAGCTGACGATGTAGTTTGATTGGAGCAGTGCTTGCCTAGCATGTGCAAAGCCCTAGGTTTGACCCCATTACTGCGTATCCAGGCAAGGTGGCTCATACTAGTAATCCCAGCACTTGGGAGGTAGAGGCAGAAAGATCAAAAGTTCAGGGTCATCTTCAGATACACAGCAAGTTCAAGGTCAGTCTAAGCTAAATAATCTGCTTCAGAAAAATAAAATGAAGCATTATCAAAATAAGAAGGCAAATTAGGGCTAGAGAGATGGTTCAGCAGTTAAGGGTTAAGAGCACTTACTATTTCCAGAAGACTCACCTTCAATTCCTAAAACCCATATGGTGTCTCACAGCTGTTGTCACTCCAGACCCAGGAGATCCAATGCCCTCTTCTGGCTTCCGCATGCACTGCATGTATGTGTTATACATGCAAGCAAAACATAAAAATGAATGACAGAATAAAAACAAATTTCATTACGAATGCCCAGTTATGTGACTCACTCAAGGGGCTGTCACTGAGGCTTCAAAGGGAAAATGATGCACTGTCTCTTTCCTAGCAGAGCCACACCCCTAAGGATCACACCTCTCTCTGTGCATTCGCTAACAGAAGCTAGTTAGTACTTGCAGTGTGGTGACGGCAGAGCTTCCAACTCCGCAGTATGTTACCAGTGCGCTAGCCTTTCACTGTTTCAACCAGGACAGCTGGGGCTTCAGAAGGGAACAAAGACCACGAATGTAAGGCATAAAACTACTTAGCTACTTTAGTTGGGGTTTGTATAGTTGAATTTAGGTAATCAATCCACAGGAATAAAAGGAAATCCACAGCTGGTACTTAGCCAACCAGTGTTTTGAGGAATTTCATGGGAATTAAGCACTACAACACACATACACACACACACACACAAAGAAAGAAAAATAAATCAGGCAAAAAGGCAAACATTCAAAATAATCATTTTAAAGGCTGCAATGGTAATATAGGCATGCTTAGTATACTGTAGTTACAAAGAGCATTTGCTGTTCTTACAGAGGATCCAGATGTAGTCCCGACACCCATATGGTAGCCCACGTTGCCTAACTCATTCCCAGGGATCTTCTGGCCTCTGCTAGCACCAGCCATGCCTGTGGTGCACTGAGGTATGTGTAGACAAAACTCTCTCTATTTTTTTTAATTAATTTTTTTTTTTTTGGTAAAGGTGTACTCTACTGCCATACACAGAAAGGACTGGATCTGGTGGATGAACTCATGTCACCGAAGTGTGACTGCTTCCAATTCTTCCTGTCCTGCCTAAAGAGGGCAAGAAGATGCTTAGAAGGAGCAGTGGCTGGGCACCTTCTACTTCCTATCTTGAACATGGCCCAACTGTCACCCTTGACTGTCTTAGTCAAAGTGTTCAAGTGCTTCACCAAGAAGATGGATGACACCAGGGTGCAGCTCAGTCATACAGTCCAATTCTTAAGAAAGCATCAGAAGGCCATTCCTTTTGCCAGGGCTTTAAGCTGGCCTGTCAGTGGGCCGGAAGTAAGTCATGACTTTCACCAGAGCCCGGGGGATGTTCTTCCTAGAGCAGTACAAGCAGTACTGGGACTCTGTCACAAATCTGTTAGAGTTGAGTCAGGAGCACCTGGCTAAGATCCCAGACATCAGCCATGTTCAGAGAGAGAGAGAGAGAGAGAGAGAGAGAGAGAGAGAGCTATTACCAAGGTGAAGGAGAGTAGGCAACCAGTGGAAAAGGAGAGGTGACAGCATTCAAAACAGCTGCAGCTGCTGTGGCTGTGATGTGCCACCTCCATCAAAACAGAATAACAGACTTGAAATCAAAGCTGTAACAGTTCTTACAACAACAAATAATATTGTTCCAAGAATGACCCAGAAGTTCTTCATAATTATAAACAAACTTGGGACAAGACATGGAGTTGTGCTCTTTATCAGTTAAAAAAACAAAACAAAACAAAACAAAACAAAAACAAAAACAAAAACCTCTCTTCTAAAAGGGTAAAAATTGCTATCAGAAACTTACTGCTAGGCTGGAGAGATGGCTCTTGCAGAGAACCAGAGTTCAGTTGCTGGTTTACAGCCACCAGTAACTCCAGACCTGGGGGGCCTCTTGGGGAACGTGCACTCATGTGCACCTAGCCCCAAATAGGCATATGCTTAAAAACAAATGTTTAAAAAGCAAACTCAGCCAGGCGGTGGTGGTGTATGTCTTAATCCCAGCACTGGGGAGGCAAGGGCAGGCAAATCTTTGAGTTCCAGGCCCATGTGGTCAGGAGAGCCAATGCTACAGAGAAATTGTTTTGAGACCCCCCCCCCCCCCAAAAAAAAAGTAAAACCTATTGCTGTCAGTGATATAAGAATGGCTTTATGTTCAAACCTGGCTGAATACATAATGGAGGGGATAAATTGTTAATATACTTAAGCAGTAAAGTACGGTACAGTTTTCAGTGTTATGTAGGGGGCCCAGAATTTCAATATGTAACATTATAGTTCACCGGACCAGGGATACTAACAAAGCGTACAGGCAGTGAAATGGTGTTGCAAAGACAGGTAGGGGCTTGGTCTGTGTTGATTTTATCTTAAAACCAAATGACAGGAGGGAGGTGGTGGACATCTTGAAACATTAATAGCTTTTGAAACTTATTAATATATTAATTGTATCCATGAATGAGGCAATGTTAATATATTCCCTTAGACTGTTTGAATCAAAGAAGTTCTTTTCCTCCTTTACTTTCCCGATAGATAGCTCTTCCCAATTCCTGCTAATTACTACTTTCAAGTCATCAGTTTTTAGCCTCTTATGAAAGAAAATGTGTTGTCTTTTTGTTGACTTCATGTGATTCTGTCCATTTTACTGCAAATGACACATTTCACTTTTAATGGCTAATATCACACTGTATTTGTAGTTTTAATTTGCATTTCTCTCATGCCTGAAATTTTGGCTTTTTTCATGTATTTGTTGGGAATTTATATTTATGAAAAATTTCTATACAGATCATTTGTCCACCTTTAAAAATACCTATAACACATGTTAAAAATTGCAAGTTCCTTAAACTTCTGCATTAGTTAGGGATCTGTAGAGGACCAGAACCAGTAGGATAAAAAAAAGTGCACAAGTATAACATATATATTAAAAATTATTAAATTAGCTGACTTTGAAAGAACAGCAGATCAATTACACTGGAGAGGCCATGAACTTGGTAGTTGTTTGGTCCTGAAGATGGGCACTCAGCAGTCTGAACAGTCCCACAGTGGCCCTTTCACTGGAGAGGCTGGGGACCCAGCATATGGGGGCTGGATGCTTCAGCAATATGAATCCAGCATCGAAAACCTGGAAACCATGGTTTTGTTATCAGCATGAAATCAGCCATAGCAACACTATAATATTTTTCTTTCTTTTTTTTTTTTTAAATCTGGGTGGCTACCAAAAGGTGCCACCCACATATGGGCTGGGTCATCCCATATCAATTAAATTAATTCCTCAACTAAGGCTCCCTACTCAGGTAATTCTAATTTTCTGCAAGTTGCCATTAAAACTAACCATTGTAACCTCTACCCAAACAGACACTGACAGATATTTTCTAGTTTTTAGGGTAGTTTTTCATTATGGTGGTTATTTCCTTTGTTGTGCTTTTAATTTTTTTAATTTATTTTTATTTTACTTTGATGCAGTACCATTTGTCAGCCTCTGCTGTTATTTTCTGTGCCCTGGAGTCCTGTCCAAAGGCTAAGGTCTCTACCAATGCTGTAAAGTGCTTCTGCTGTTTTCTGGTAACTGTCATAGAATTTTATGTTTGTACTTTTGGTCTCTAATTATCTCGAGCAGATTTTGTACAGGGATAACAACCTGTAAAGGGACAAACTCACTGGGTAACAACTGGCCTCACACCAAGTCTCCAAGGATGCATTTAAGGTCAGAAATGCTAGCAGTTTCATCTCTGTACCCAGTTCCAGATTACTGTGGTCCACTCTCCCCATACCCTACTGCTCAGAGAACCAGGGACGTCGGTACTCCTAGAATCTATTTCTATTAATAAATCCCGTAGGCACTAAAAGTTCCTTGGAGGACTTTTCAGGGACCCCACCTCCCGCCCCACAGGTCTAGATAATTTATCAAACCAAGGAAACTGCATTCTTAAAAGTTGTTGCCAGGTGATTCTTACACTTAGCCAATACTGTAACGGAGGTTTACATTTAAAATTTTCTTTTCCTTTCTTTTTTCCCCCCTTTCCGAGACACAGGGTCTTCTATCTATCCCAGGCTGGTCTCAAACTCAAGATCCTCCTGCCTCTGGAATGCTAGGATTAAAAGTGTGTGCCTTTATAAAGAAAGCGTACTCTGATGCCATCTCTTATTAAATTACAGCTCTACGTAATAACCAATGCTGAATTTCTCTCCAATGTCATTGTTGAAAAAGGGGTTCTGGGAGAAGTTAGAAAGCACTTGAAAACACTACACCAGCAGAACTCTTGGATAAAAACACATATTCCAGGCATAATGTAACCAGAAGAGCAAAGATTGCTGGACTAACACAAGGCAAAAGACTTTCAATCAAAAAGATAAAACACAAAAGGTATTATACACTTTAAAAGGGCCAGTACAGAAAGGAGACATAGCAAACATTTACAGACCTAAAACACCATTAGGATATGTGCTGCAACAATTAAAAAATGGAAGGGCTTTGAAGACAGCACATGAGCAGTAACGCATTAATGTAAAGAAAAGTGAAATTTACTTACAAGTTGGCTATTGTTGTGAGATGTATGACTGTCCTCAACAATAACAGCCACTGCGGAAAACAGTATGTTGGTTCCTCAAAAAATTGAAAAACAGACTTTTTATACAATCCTGTAGTGTATTTGTGTATATCCCCCAAATGATTGAAGACTTGGACTTAATCCAGTCACAATTGCATTATTCACACTAGCTGAAACATCCCAACCATTCACAGAACAAAGTATGGTTTAAACCCATATAGGACAGTATTACTCATTAAAAAGGGAATTTGGAAATATACTGCATGGGTGACCCTGAAGACACTGGGATAATAAAACAGACACAAACTAACCAATACAAGCATGATTTCATTTGTATGCGATACAGAGGCAGAAAATCAGCTACCAGATTCAGGGAGGAGCAACATGAACTTAAAATTCCAGTTATGTTTTACAAGATGAAGTGTACGGGAATGGAAGGTGGAGACAGCAGCACAGCATTACCAATGTATTTAAATTGATTATATCAGAAAGCAGGATGCCCCGATGCCTGGGAGCACATGCCTGCAATCCTAGCTAGCACTTGGGAGGTTGTCAGGAGATGCTGCAAATTCTAGAACAGCCTGTGCTTCAGGATGAGTTCCAGACCAATTTCTAGTTTCTTCTGGAATAATAAAATATCAACACAGGAAGCAAGCTTGCTTGTCCTTGGTGCTCACCACCTCTCTACTGGCTGTGAGCCTTTGGCACTGTTGGCAGCATGTTCTCAATTCTAGGCTTGAGTTCAAAACAGTTCTCTTGATTGACAGCAGATTCCTGCCTCTTTAAAGACCCAAACCTTGGGCTTCCTACAGGCTGGTCTTGGCCCTGCAAATTACACAGGTGCTGGGAAGGTCTGTGTAAACTGTGAATCTTCCCTTTTGACTCTTTCTGCTCAGTGCTCCATCTAGCCTCCATGCCAGTTCACTGTCACTCTGGGAAACCTCCCTGCTGCTTCTGGCACTCCAGAACCTCCGAATTCCCAGTAATTTTATTTATTTTTTATTTTTTTTGCCTTCACAAATTGAAGCCGACTGCCCCTGTCAAATCTCATGGCTGCCCTCTGCTGACAAAAGCTGAGTTAGCATCTCAGGCTTTGGCCAAAAGGAAAGTAAGGACGGTAGAACACAAAATTTGAAGGTGCATCATGAAACAAGGTAACATTTTGGGAAAATGTTTTAGAAACTCAAAATAACAATAAATCCCCACAGTGAACAAGAAGGTACCAATGCACACCTCAGCAGAGCCTCTATCTTAGGCAAGCCCAGGCCTTCCCACGGTCTTGTCTTTAAATGGAATTCTAACGGGAATTCATGCTAGTACTGAAATTTTTTTCAGCAGTCACGGAGATTGGATTTTTCTGGCTGATTGCACCAATAGGATCCTGAAGATCATGAGTGGGATTTCATCCCCTTCTTGGCTTCATTTATGCCTCAATGGACCATGGGAATAGGTTGCCTCTATAGTAAACAGCTGAGTTAGAGTTCAAGTCTGCCTCAAGAGACCCACTAGGTCCCACTGCATCGTGACTTCCCGCAGAATAGAAACTGGCCCCAAATATTTTTGGCTGTTAGATGGAATACCCTACTCCCACGATAATCCTATTGGAAATATAGGCCAAATCTTTCCAACTAACTTCCAACAAAGCTCAGACTGATGCCTTGACTTTAAAATGTGTATTTAAATAATTTATAATCGTTAAGAGGTATGAAATGTGTATGTTCAACTTACAAGAATGTGATTTTACAAAATTTAGTTATAAAACTCAAAATTATTATAAACAAAGTTGTCACTTTTCTGGAAAAAATTTAAATGTTGGCAAATTATAATCAACACACCTACTAAGAATAGCGATGAAGGTAAAGGAATAAGCTTGGTGTTCAGGCCATAATAAACATGAGGTTGACATGACACTACAGCCTAATATACTAACTAATTTCAAAGGCCATTTCATTCTTCACGTTAATTGTACTGTTGTGATGAAGACGATAGCACACGTCAACAGGAACAATCCACACACTCAATCCATTGCAGTATCTGACTGTATTAATACCAAACTAGATATCAAAGATATTGTAACACAAACTAAAAACATGAGTTAATTTTTTTTATCACTGTTATTTAAAGCTTGATTTCTTTTTTTTTTAATAAAACATTAAAACAGGAGTTCTTTATTACAGAATTTAAACAGTATCAATTGCTTTGAGTTCAGGGTATATACAGTAAAATAAAATAATTAACACATATTCAATATGGGATCTATACAAGGAGAAATAAAATGGACACAATAAGGCAGCATTCATGACTCTCAGAACTAAACAAACCTTTGATTCCTTCTGCTGTATTTACATTCAGATGCTTCTCTATAACCCGGTGAAGATTCCTGAGCTAAATGTTAGGGGAAGTATTTAGCTTTTTAACAGAAGTTTTCTATCTACAATGACCACTGTATTAAAAAGAAAAAAAAAAAAATCCACTCCACAATGCTGACACAATCTGCTGGTTCCCCTTAATAATGCGCAGCCCTCCTGGAATGTTGACTGTACGGCAAGTCCAGGAGGAACCCAAGAAATGGAACAATGAGGCACACTTATCAAAGTAGGATCCTGGCTTTCTCCGCCTGTAAATGAAACATGGGAAGGAAATGTATCAACTGTCTCTGACTTAGTGTCTGGAAACACACCTGGGAATGATAGTCCCCTCTTCCTCACCTTCTCATCAGTCACTGACAGGTACTTTGTAGGCCACCATACTATTCACTTTGTGGATTGTGGTAGTAAAGGAGCGCAGACGGACTTCCTCAGAATTGGTAATGAACTGGGGTCCTGATTCTTCCCACTTTTCAGGTACAACCAAATCTTTGTCAGTGTAAATTAGCAGATCAAATGAACCTAAGTTGGGAATGACAGTAAAGTATGTTTTAAAAGTGAAGCCGTCCTCCCTGCCTCTCTCTCACTGGGACTCATTTTGAACCACCTCTGGTTAAAAAAGATAGCTTGGATTGTCCTAATTATTATTTTCTTCAATAAAAACTGGGTTTAGAACAGAGCATTACACTTTTCAGTAGAAAATAATAGTAAAAGAAATTTTGAGAAAATTTTCAAAAAACTGCAGAATATTTTATTTTTTAGCATTTTCATTTTTTTCTATTCTTTTCTTGAGTGTGTGTAGAGAGCACATAGGTGGATGACCCAAATTAATGATTGTTCTTCCAGTTTATTCACTAAGACAGACAGGGCTTCTCAGGCAAACACAAAGCTTACCAATGTGGCTAGTTTTGGTAGCCAGATTGCTTTGGTGATCCCATCCTGCCTTTCTGGGCTGGAGTTATGGGTGGGCCACCACAACCACCTAGAGGATCTTGATGGTAGGGATCTAACTCAGGTCCTTACACGTGCTCAGCAAGTACTTTAAGCACTGAGCCATCTCCTCAGTCCTCGTCTTCACACTTTCTGGAATACACATCTTCCATTTGTGCTGTACTGTTTTCCATATCCCATATATTTACAAGGCGGAGGTAAATGGAAAGATTTAATAATTGCGGGATCCTCCCAACAATAGCATACACTCTCACCAGCACATTTAAGCCAAGAGGTTGCATAATACTTACAAGAAACTTCCAACAGTGGCAGAAATGTCACGGTAGCTGTGATCTGTCTGATTACTGAACGGATTTCATCCTGGATGGCTTTCTGTGACTTTTCTCTACACACACTAGACAGGAATGAAACAAATTCATTCTAGGTTTCAGTAAGCTAATTAAAGCACACTGGTAACCACGACTGAACAAAATGCTTCCAACATTAGGAAACTAAAGGTTAACGACTAATGGTATCCTTGGGCTACTGTATCTGTATCAGTCCTTTCTTTCCATCATCCTTTAGAGCTGATCTTAGTATCAGGTGGTTCAGTGTAGGATGATTAGTAAATTTCCCCACCACTCCCAGTTAAGTCTTTAAGATAATGGGAAATGGATTCAAACACAAACATGTAGAATTTTGGCATTAACAAAGTTATTTATTTTGTGTGTACGGGCATTGTGCCTGCATGCATACACACGTGCACCATGTACATGCCTGTTGCCATGGATCCCTGAAACTGAAGTTACAGACAGTTGTGAGCTGCCATGTGGATGCTGGGAACTGAACCTGGGAACTGAACCTTCCAACTGCTGAGCCATTTCTCCAACCCAAACTTTGACATTTTTAGTAACATCTAAATACCCAATTCCCGATCAAGCAAAGTAAAATAAATTACACATACATTTTTTTTTATAAGCTAAAAACTTCCTACAGGTCAAAGACTTCAGAAGCACACTGCTCTTTATTACAGGAACTTACAGAAAAGTATGCCTAGTGTAATGGGCATTTCTGATGTAGAGTACTTGCAATCTTAATTTTTACAAAGTTCATGGCATTAGGTGAAGTACAGTGGAGCGGCATTTAAGTCAGGAATGGGTCTAGGCTCATCTCCAGCAGTTAACAGTACCTTTAAGCCTGTGATTAAATGGCCCACATAATATATCGTCAGAGTTTCTGGTATACCCATGAACATGAAGGTCAAATATCACTGAGTTAGGCCCAAAGACAGCATGTTAAAAGCATCTTATCTAAATAATCTCTGGCAGGCTATGAGGAACTCAGAAGCCCCTCACAAATCAACAAAGGTATCTTTAAAAAATAGCAGTTCTAAGAAATCGGTTCATTACATCATGAACTAATGTAACAGAGCTTGTAAAAAGTTAATGTAGGAATAACTGAGTCCACACTCACCCTTCTTCTTTTGCAGTTTTGTCACATTCGATGTCAAACTGCCATCTCTCAAGGACCTCCCCACTTTCGATGTTTGAGATGACCACCACCAGTTTCTGAACTGAGCACTTGTACAGCCAATCTGCAACACACAGGCAGCTCTCACACTCTGTAATGCAGCGACTCTCTTCTACAGACCCACTTTTTTAGCCTCACAAAATTCTTATACTAGAATTTTGGACTTCCTTTCATACAGAAGGAAAAAAATTCCCCACTAATAATTTGGCCAATTTAAAAATTGTCCACATTACTAACAGGTGCAACCCAGAGCATCACAGAC